TCGTTCGTCGTCGTGAGTGTCGCGCCCGATTGGCTCTCGGGGGCGGAGCAGGGAGGTGTGTGTGTGTGTGGGTGGGTGGTGGCGTGCCGGTCGGGGGTGGTCTCTGAGGGGGCTGCTGTGGGCGGAGCACGCTGGGGACTCCCCTTTATGGCAATGTGTGACGGGAGAATGAAGTGTAGCGAACGGGGCGAGGGTTCGGCCAAGCCAGGAGACAAACACGTATAGAGGAAAAGTACGGCGTTTATGTAAAAAGGTTCTGTTTTATATAAACTTGGACTTAAATTAATGCACTTAGAGAGGTGGAGGATGTTCGTGCAGCGGTGATTGTTTTGTCGTGTGTTATTTCGCGGACGGTATTATGAGTAGCCGAATCCGCTCAGCTCGCCCTGTACAAGGGGCAAAAGGGAAAAGAAAATCAAGTTGGAAATGAAATGACTCGAGTAAGTCTTCTGGTTTGTATATATCAGAAAGGTTTCCATTGGTTGCGTGCCTTGTCGCTGGTGAGCTCGGGGCAGTAGCCCCAGCCGGGCAGCTGCTCCGCCAGTCGGTACAGCTGCTGCACCAGCCCCGTCACCGCCGCGCCCGCCAGCAGCGCCTCCACGTCCTGGCCCCAGCGAACGTAGTTCTCGTCCGTCATCAGGTTCTTCACGTAACTAAAAAAAAAGGAAAAGAAAAGGAAATTAGAAATAAGTAAACTAAATAATGTATATTTTTTGGAAAAATAGCCATAGCCTAGGAGATGAGAACTGTGAAAACAGTTTGACAGAGCTTTTTATGCGGTTTTAGACAGTCTCCAAGACCGTCTACAAGGCAGTGGAGTCTTGCCTCGCCAGAATAGTCTATTGTCGTGGCGCGTGGCGCGCCCTTAGCAACGGCCTCTGCGGTCAACAGTCCGCCTCACTCGAGTGCAGCCAGCGACCGGCGACCGGTGGGTGCGAGTGCAATGAAATTCTTACGACGACTTCTGAAGAAGGTTAGTGTTAGTGAGTGTTCCGCATGACAGCCCGTTGCCTGGTTAATCGGTTTGGATGCTAACTGAATGTTTGTCCTGACAGTTCATCACACCTAACTACAACTCCTCTCGCCGGAAGGCACAGCGGCTGGCTGCCGAAAGCGCCGCCCTGGCCGCCGAGGCCGCGCGGCTGGCGGAAGCCGGGGCGCCGCAGGAGCGGGTGTTGGGACTATTGTTCGCCTCGTTGGCTAAGGCCTGTGTGGCCGCAGTGTTGTGATTGTGAGTAATAGAGAGACCAGCTGAGGGTCACTCGTCAATTTCTGTCCATTGCATGAAGATGCGTCTGTAGTGTGCATCTCGCAAGATGCACTTTTGCACCTTGTGTAGTAGTTGCAAATTTTTAATCTTCATTTGGACAAAATTTAAAGTTGTCCATCAAATGTTTTTTGTGGACTTACCCTGCGGTGACCATGCAGATGGTGTAAGTGCCGCAGGTGGCGTTCCACGCCACTTTCACGAACATGTTGTGCAGGTTGGCGGTGAGGAGGTGCGGGCCCTCGTGGTCCGCCATGGTTCCCTCGATCTAGAGGGACACACACGAGGCGTGAG